AAGAATAAAGTCGTAACATTACCAGAATAAAGTCGTAACATTACCAGAATAAAGTCGTAGAATTACGAGAATAAAGTCGTAAGATTACCAGAATAAAGTCGTACCATTACGAGAATAAAGTCGTAACATTACAAAAATAAAGTCATAACATTACCCGAATAAAGTCGTAAAATTACAAGAATAAAGTCGTAACATTACCGGAATAAAATCGTAACATTACCAGAATAAAGTCGTAACATTACCAGAATAAACTCGTAAAATTACAAGAATAAAGTCGTAACATTACCGGAATAAAGTCGTAGAATTATGAGAATAAAGTCGTAAGATTACCAGAATAAAGTCGTTACATTACGAGAATAAACTCGTAACATTACAAAAATAAAGTCGTAAAATTACGAGAATAAAGTTGTATTTTATGACAACTCCTACAATAAAGCGCTTTCTTCCCTAAAATGAGGAATATGAAGCATCATGTGACATTATACTTTGGCATCGGTTTGACAAATAAAGAAATCTTTTAGCAGCAGCATCAAACTGGGCAGGATGTCAAAGTGGACTCTGGTTGCTGATTGGTGGAGCTGGTCGGTTGTCATCTGCTGGGCGGAGCTCCAAGCTTTCTTTCTGAAACGGGTTGTTATATGATGACTTCCTTCTAGTAATATTAAAACTTTATTCTCATAATTTTACGACTTTATTCTCTAAATAGAAGAAAAGAAATCACTAGCCTGGCCCTAATACTCCGTCGTAGGATCTAAACCTTCATGTTTAACAAAGAAAAGGAAAGAGAAGAAATCTATTCATCATCAGATTGATAAAAGGCTCCGACATGCAAACTGTGAAAGAGCTGTAAAATCTCTTGCATTGTCCAGATTATATCTCACCTGTTGGGAGTTCTTCTTTGCAGAGACCTCGGACAGATCATCACTGGGCTTTATTTGATTTTTTGGCAGGTTGTCCAGGAAGGAGTTCATGGACTGGCATGTATTCTGGAAGTCCTGGTGCTTAGCTGAAGCTTCTTGTAACACGTTCTCCCTAAAGGAGTTATCAGAGTTGTAAGCTGTGTTAACTTTGGGGGATTCTTTTAAAAATGTGAGGTTACATGTTTAAACTAAAGTAGTCACAGTTTTACTCACCTTTCCTTCAGCTGGTTGGCAACATTTGCATAGCGACTCTGCAGCTGCTTGACGTCCTTCCTCTGGCGTTGGATGTCGGGGCAGTACTCCTGGTAGTCTTGCTGCAGGGTGTTGCACAGCTTCTCAGTCGTCTGCAGATCCTGCTCCAGTTTCATCATGTCCTTCTGGGCCGCTGCCACAGACCTCTGCTGACTCTAAATACAACAAAGAAGGCACTCAGGTGTAAATATGGATCTAGTTTAAAACTTCATACCAGTCTACAGGTATGTTGTTTGTATCCTCTTCCCCACCTGAATGTCCTGGGTTCGGGCCTGAATTGCATTTGGTAGGTCTGGAATTGGACCATCTACGCTCAGGTTCCTCTCAAATCCAGAGACAAGACCGTCCACCTTCTTGATTTGATTCTCCAGGTTGAGAGATGCATTTGCTCTGAATAAAAAAATAAAAAAAGGAGATGTAACAGATGTAGGGAGGCTAAGATAGAAAATCAAATTCAGTGGTTCATTAGAATTTTGTGAGGCAAAAGTTTCTATAAATCAAAGCTTAAACAATACAGGTCAGGACATGGCCACAGGAAGTAGGGGGGCTGGTGGTGTTGCAGCACCCCCTAGTGGCTACAGTTGGATAAAGATTGTGTTAAAAATACCGTAAATTCTCTAATATTGGCCTGTATTCCAATAGCGGCCGGGTCTCTAACATTGGCCGGTCTCGCTGTCAGAGGAGGTAAATAATGGCCGGTCTCGCTGTCAGAGGAGGTAAATAATGGCCGGTCTCTCATACAGGCCGGGGCTATAAACGTTTTTTCTGGGCATACCTCAACATTATACTTGTGGTAGTAACATACAAGT